TTAGCTAAAAAATTTTTTATTCTGCTTTTTAAAGTGGACTGCACCATTAATTGATATAGTTGAACCACATTATCATCACCATACTCTACTATAGAAAGCTTCAACTTTTCCAGATCTTTAATTGTTACTCAAGCCGAGGAAAAAAATAATTTAAATTACCTAAAATTTTCCTACTCAACTCATTTGTAAAACATTCAACTTTCTCGAATGATATTGAATATCTAAATCATAATCTTTAATAAACTTCAGTCATTTCCTCTGCCTCAAGTTGCTTCTTCTGAGTAAAGATATACTTTAAAATCTGGTAATCAGTAAAAATTTTGTATCTAACTTTGTACAAATAGTGCCCCATATCTTGCGTGCAAATACAACTGACGCAAGCTTCAAGTCAAGTGTGGGGTATTTCCTTTCATGATTTTTTCAATTTTTGTGATGCAAGTGCAATGACCCTACCATGTTGCATAAGCACACAACCGAAGCTCCTCAAAGATGCATCGTTGAAAATCTGAAACCCATCAGAACCTGAAGGAATGACCAAAACTGGAGTAGACATTAAGCAAGACTTTAGCTTCTGAAAAATCTCTTCACAACGAACTGACCATTCAAATTTCATTGTCTTCTGAGTCAATCTTAATAATGGCATAGCAATCTGTGAGAATCACTTGACAAATCTCCTGTAATAATAGGCCCAACCTAAAAAACTCTTGACCTCAGTGATAATAGTAGGTCCTTGCCAATTTGCAATTGTCTTGACCTTATTCTGATGCACAGATGTCATCTCCACTGATAATATGCCCAAAAAAAGCCATACTTTTAAACCAAAACTCACATTTAGAAAATTTTGCATAAAGTGTATTCTCCTTCAAACCTATAACACATATAAATGATCTGTAAAACTGACCTCATCCCTTGAATGCACCAAAATATCATTTATAAAGGCGATCACGAAAGTATCTCAAAACTGTCTAAAGACCCTATTCATCAGGTCCATGAATATTGTTGGAGCATTTGTCAGTCCAAATGACATCACTAAGAATTCATAGTGCTCATATCTGGTCCTGAAAGTTGTCTTCGCTATGCCTTCGTTTTTAATCCTCAGCTGGAAATAGTCTGACCTCAGATCAATCTCTGAAAATACAGAAACCACCTCTAACTAATCAAACATATCGTCAATCTTCGATAGTGGATATTTACTCCCTGTAATCAATACACATGTTGAAGTTCCCATGCTTCTTCACAAATAATATCGGAGCTTCCTAAGGTGAGATGTCTAGTCTAACGAACTAGTAACTCCTGCAGTTGGCTCTTCAACTCCTGCAGCTCTTTAACTGTCATTATGTAGGGTGCCTTGAATATCGGCTTAGAACCTAACAAGAGCTAGATAGTGAAATCAATCTCTTGCACTGGTAGCAGCCCTAGAACATCATCAAGGAAGACTTCTAGATATTCTCTTACCACCGGAATATCACCCAAAGACTGTACTTCCTTAGAAGTATTTATCACCTGAGCAAGAACCTTAACTTCTACGATTCAACAATTTAAAAGCCTTCAAACATGTAGTCCTCTATCACCTGAAAATTTAACCAGTCTACCCAGGAACATTTATTTTGAGTCTTTTTTATTGTAATCAATGGTAACAAAGTTTTAAGACATCCAATCCATACCTAAAATTACTTCAAACTCCACCAAAGGTAGCATAAAACGTTGTACCTCAAAATTTTTTCTATCAAACATAAACTTCACTTCACCTGATTAACTAACTTCCAGAAAAGTACCATTTGACATTCTAACATATAGTATCATTGACATTGAAATAACATTCAACTGCATCACTTTTAACAAGTTCCTCAGCTATAAAAGAATATGATACTCCCGAATCAAACAAAACTCTTATCGGCCTACTTTGAAGAAATATGATACCTACCATTAAAATTACTGTATTAAAAATTTAGAGTCGACTTATTAATATATTAAGATTATTATTTTGTGTTATAGATGACATGACATGAATTCTAAGATGATAAAAAGTGTACCAGATTAAAATTCGTAAACGTGAAATATACATGTGATGACATCAAAAGAGTGTTTAGCTTCCTACTGTGAGAGCATAAACTCTAGGCTGAACATTTTGTTGTGCTTGACTTACATTTGGCATTGATCCTGAAGATTCAACTGCCCTCGGTCTGTCAAAGCTCCTCTAACGTAGTGCAACATTGCCCTTAGAATTTGTTGAAGCTCTCTGACCCAATTTTGGGTAATTCTTCACCCTATTTCCTGACCGATGGCACTAAAAGTAGGTATTGGATCCAGAAAGAGACTCTCCCGTATGAGACCATCCACACTTGTCATTTCTTTGCTTCAAACTGAATGTCTATGCTGCTAGATTTAGCCTTCTTAGCACCAGTATTCACTGACTGGAAGGAATGTCTGCACCAAGAGCCCCAAGGAAACTTAAACCCTCTGAATTCCTCCTCTTCTAAAAGTCTCTCATCCTCTGAGTAGTCTCTAGATCCAGCTCAATCCTCCAAACTCTCTCCACCAAAACAGAGTAATCATTAATTCCAAAAGGAATCAATGGTTGTTAAATCACATCTCTCAGCCCAGATAAAAATCGATGGCACTTCTCTGCATTTGGAATCAACTAAGGGGGATATCCTAAGAGCATGAGGAATTCTGCCTCGCATTGCATAATGGATTGATCGTCCTATACCAACGGGATAAATTTGTCCTGCATCTGCCTCCTGACGAGCAGTGGTACGAACCAGTATCTAAAGATGCTCACAAACTCGTCCCACTGAATCATGTGGCTGACTTTACCCTCATATTTCTCCTACAACTGACCTCGCCACCATCTCTCACTTCTCTCTCTAACGCAAATGTGGCCAGTGAAACTATCCTCTCTAAAGGACAAGACAATCCTCAAGAAGAAGAATTAGCAAAAGTTACCTAATGTGACCCTGCTTTCCTTCTTTCAAGCAAGTTCTTTTTATGTGTATGTCACATTAATGTAACAGGACAGCTATTTTTTGTGACGAGCATACTCTTGGTGTTTCTTTTATTTTAATATATATAGATGATAGGGAACTCTCTACCATAGTTGTAGATGGCAGATCACTCTTTTGTAGCATACTTGCATAGCTTTTTATTCTTCTTGATATATTAATGTAAATGCATATTTTCACGGAGGACAAGACAATCCATCTAAGATCTTTTTAACTCTTAGCGGCTAATTTTCAGCATCCACCAGATCTCCTCCAAAAAAGAGAGGTGGTCGCATATCCTTAAATAAATTTAAGTACATATCCATCCGACCTCTTTCATTGGAACTGGCCTGAGTCAAGAGTTTCTAAGCAACTGCAGTATTGCAGTCATCATCTCACTAAATGTATTTGTATTCACAGTAATCTGTGGGTGTGTATAATCTCTAGCTTCTTCCCCCTGATTTTTCATATTTCTGAAAAAAAAATGAAAGAAAAATTTTAATCAAACATAAGTCAATATCAATTATGAAATAATTTAATCATTTTAATGGCTCTTTTAGATAATGATCCAACATGATTTCTCTGATGCAACGTTTGTCAAGACCCAGCCCAGGGCTTAGAAATATAAAACGGAAATTGCGGTCGCACTGTATTAATATTTAATTTTTACTTTCCACATTTTTCAAAAACTTCCAAAATATAAAAGAAAGAACCATTAATAGCCACAAAGTGCAATAAATTTAAAACATCAAGAAACAACGACAATCATTTGAAGACTATCTCAAACACTATTTAACAGTTTATCACTATCTAAAGAAAATAGTGTAAAAAAACTACAAATACATCATAAATTAGTACCTATCAACTGCAATCCTCCTATTATAAACCAAGTCTCTCCTACCAGACATATCAATCTAAAGTTTTTCTTTTCTTGAAAAACTAATTAATTAAAATAGTAAGTTTGACTTAGTGAACAATTATAATCTTAATATACATTAAATTATTATGTCAATGCTATGCATGAATAACCAAAGAAAATACACTTTAGTATTTATAAAATCATAAATTGTCATGTTAAATTTATCCCTTTCCGTTTCATTGTAAGTATTTAATGTTTTAACATATGTAAGTGTCATAATAAGATTACTGTCATATCCAAAGGTATTTTAAAAAATGTACTTGAAAGTACTCTAAAAAATATATCCAAAAGTACCCTCAAATTGCACCCGAAGGTTCACCTTTATCATTTTATTTAACGGGCACGAGTACACCGCATCCCCTGTCAGTACCATTTGAGGGTAATCATGTATGACTTAAAATTTAACATTTTATTTCCTTTTAATCATGTAAGCCTTAAAATTTAACAATTTAAAAAAGAAATAAACATTCATTTTTCTTCTCTTCCATTTCATTTTCTTAAACATTCAAGCTCACAAAATACAAATAATTATAAAATAACAGTTTAAAGCTATGCTTGAACATAATGAAATGAAAGAAATATTGATTGGACCATAGGACCAATCTATGCTTGAACGAGAATGATTAGACAAAGCAGGAGAATAGTCATTATCAAAACTGTAAATAACTCTGTTCTGTATGAAGAAAAAAAAAAGGGAGCAAAAGGTTGATACCAAGCACTGAAAGTGTTTTAAAGAAGAAATATTTATTCTAGAGCAGTTATACCAGATAAAACTTCGAAGTTCAAAGATGAGAATGGTTTTGAAGAACCAAGCGCATATCATCATGGACATAGAAAGAGTTAAAGTGAAATGGGAGAGTAAATGATGAGAAAGAACATGGACATAGAAAAGAGGTAGAGTGAATTGGGAGAGTAAATGATGAGGAAGAACATGACAAATAAAACGTATTGGAAATTATAAATTAACAATACACAAACTGCGTAAAACAAGAATTGACATTTGAATGGATAACATGAGAAAATAGGAAAACTGCAAACATAAATATGAAAGCATAAAAATTCGAAATCACATAATGATATGCAATTACATTTTTTAGTACCTGATAAAATAGACTTCTATGTTGTTCCTCTTGGAACTCTTCCACTGATGTAAGTGTCACCTCGAAATGAGTTCTGCACCACCTGCTTGCCTAAGGATGATTCTAAGGATGTTAGAGCATCCTTAGTAGTTCACAAAACACAGGATAAGTATGAGCCGCAGCACAAATAATTTGAAGTTACTGGAAAATTACCTTTGTTCCAAGAATGAGAAACTGACTGAGATTGAGTAGAATATCTGATTCCAAGTACTTACTCGCAGTATGCAAAACCGTTCTATGTAACATGCATCTTGATACACCAGAGCAAGTGGAATCCTCCCAAAGTGTCCATGTTGTTGTTAGGGTAATAAACCTTAATAATTGATATAGGTAGGGTCCAACTTAGAATTACACGGCTTCAAAAGAAAAAAGCAGAACCGAAACCATTTCTGCTGCAATTGTTTGCTTCCATTTTGGTACATGATTTTCCAAATGTAAGCCTCATACATACAGAATGAATACTAAATAATGCCAGGAAATTTATAACAACAACAACCACAACAAGCTTTTATATACATGAATCCTTTTTCTCCATTGCATCCTATTGAATGTCATATTTTTATTTAATTCTAATAGAATAAGATTATTTTTTATACAATTTGCACAAGTTTTTTAAATCTACTTCTGCATTTCTTAACATAAGTCGAGTCTTAAACATCCATTCTCATAACATGATCATCAGATAGTCGGGGTTTAATGTGATCAAACCATCTATAAAAATAAAATGCAGTAAGTACACTTGTCAGATCATCTAATCTTTTACTGGGAAAGATCCTACCAAGTTCTTTAAGAAAACAAAAATGCATTGTGAGTGCCTTACAGTTACATCTTAAGAATATCTTAAACAGCTAATGCAAAAATCAAAACAGTAATGACATTGACTTTGACTTCTAGCACAAGCTTCTATGGAAAAATAATAATTTGAACAGCCCATTTTGCTAAAAAAAGAATGATCAATTAAGCTGAAGGGGGTGGATACGATCAACAATTTCATCAAAAGAACCACATCTGGTGTCTCGAGATGATCGGAATTCCCAATTTGGTTAACGAGTAGGATTCGACTTTCGAGGTCCTGCAACAGAAGATGAAGCTATTAACTTTTGATAATGCCAAAATCTTCATAAATACGGGAAAATTTTAGGATTATTTATACTGATTACAAGTAAATTTCCACTCAATGATTATATCACTAGCTATATGAAGCTTCCAGCTTCCACACAGAAAATTCACTTTGGCACTGCACAATTGTTATTTCAGATTTCTGAACCCAAGAAATGAACGTTTAAGATTTTTAAAACTCTCATTTAAAATATCCTGTAAAACTAAGTGTTTGAACTGATCACAGTCTCAAGGTTTAAGTTACAGAACTCCTAACAGAGAAATTCTTAAAAACTGGACTGGGCAAGTTACAAATTCCTTGTTTAACACTTCTCTTCAGCATCATCGCTGACTGGTTGTTCTCGGAGACTTGCTAGCACTCCATGCCTTCCTACTTAGCTACGCACCAGAAGTTCCTGTATCTACCCTGCATGATATTGAAAAATGCAGTCGTGAGTTTATTTGGAACAAGGCATGCACTACGTTAATTGGGAGGTCTTTGTAAACCAGCTGACCAGAATGGGTGGACTGGGCTTTCACGCCCCCACCAAATGGATGTTTTCCCTTCGTGCTCGCATGGCCTGGGACAACATTTCTAATCGATATCCGCTTCTTTGTAAGCTGCTGCAACCTGAATACGGCCTCAACTTTTGGAACGTGATCTAAAAAAGAGACTCAATTGCTGGTAAAATCTTAACCACGGGTGTTTTTGCTCTTCAAAATATTAAGTTGGACGATCTCTAACGGCAATGACATCAACATAATGGAACATACGTGGGTGCCTTCTATCCCATTTACTAAATGGCCCTCATTTATAAATATAGAAGCTTGTGATGGCAATTCGTAGGAGCATTTAATTGACAACTCCAACTGGAACTTACATCGCCTACAGCAATGCTTTGGCTTGGTGCTATGCAATAGAATTTCTAAGATCCATATACACTACCACTTGCGCCACGATCAAGTGGAGCTTATGCACGCCCTTACTGGAAAACCCATTATTGCTCTCTTATGAAGCAACGATTGAGGAAGTCCATAGCAGGTTTAAATAGCTGAAATGGCTCAAGATCCACCCCCGTGAATGCCTCTTCTCATGGAGGGCTGCTTAGATGCCCTTCCAACTCAATGTTGGCTAAACCAAAGAGGCCTATCGGATGATAAGCACAGCCCTTGGGGCTGTACCAAACATAAAGATATCGAACATGTGATTGGGAGGTGTCGTTTCCTTATGGAGGCTAAGCAAAAACTACAGCATTGGGGTTTCTATATTCTGAACTTCGACTCTCTTAACGATGTTATTACTGGGATTACCTCCTCGGACTGCAACATGATGGGGCCTCTCTGTCTATTGCAAGTTTGTCTAACAGTGTTGGAGGGCTCACAATGCTAAGAAACATGGCAGAGCTTTTGGCACTCCTATTCTTGCTTCTACTACTTGTGGAAGCTATGATTTCAACCAATAAATTCCATTTTCCGAAGCAAAAACTACAACATTGCCCATTATTGGGAACCAAGTAGGAGAGTGCAACAATTGGTTAGATTGATGGATGTATGAGACAAAAGGGATCATTGAAAGTGACAATCTTAATGTCATTTCTGCTCTCCAACTGTCCAAAACTTCTAAGTATCGAAAGCACATCCATCTTATGCAGAAGACTCTTCCTCGTTGAATGCTTTTAAACTAGTTTAGAATCTTTATATAGAAATAAAGAAAAATATGGTAGCACATGTATCTGCCCATAGGGCCTTAGATGATAGTTTTTTTTTTTTTTTATTAGGGAAGTGGATAGCTCTCACTTCAGTTTTCATTTTGTATATTTTGAGCAGGCCCATCTTTTGTCGGGCTGGGCCCTCTTTGTATTGTCTTTTGTACCTTTTGTTTTATAGTAATGCAATTTGCACATTTCAAGGAGACTTGCTGGGGTTTATAGTCTATCGTCTTGCTTCCTATTATTTATCTTCTTCTAAAAAAGGTCAAATTCAGGTGTTATTCATATTTCTCCCTTATTTAATTTGTTCTTATATAGTTACAATGCTTTTTTATTAAGGGTTTTCAAGGTTTTGGACCATGGAGATGGATTAGGGTTATCATAATTTTGGTGGATAGGGTTTTCATGCTTTCTTCCTTCTTTAATCTGAGATTATCAAATATCATTACAGTGGGTTATGGTTTTCATTTTTGCATCCGTTCTCCATTCTTTAATCTTAGATTTTTGGATGTCATGGAGAGAAATTTTTTCCATTTACTTTTACGAAGAATGTGGTTTCTAGAGAAAGGAATGTGTATAAAAAATTTGGTTGAAGTATTAGACATGGCCCACCTGCTTTTTTGAAGCATTTTTTGTTTCAATGTTTAGGCAGCATGATTAAATTTTCTAAACTGGATTCACAATTTTGTGTCAGATTAATTTATATGTTCACACTTCAGACCAATTTATATTAACATTTTGTTTGTGAGTTGGATGTAGGCTAGGGCGTTGTTTTCTGTTACAAAATTGTAGAACATCGACGAGACATTTTTTTTTAGCTTATAAGCTAGTTTGCTGTGCTCTTATAATTTAATTTGATATTGGGCTAACTTTTATGGTTGAAGAAATATGTTGCAGAGGTCTTAAGAGAATTATTATTTTGAGAGTATATGTAAATAATGATAATAAAAGAAAGCAGTTTTTATTGTTTTCATTTGAATAGAGCCAATATGCACTTGAAATTATTTTGTGCTTGAACTAGTAATACATGTTGGAAACGAAGTAAAGAATTGTAAGGAGTTTGAGTGTTCATTTTGCCCAAATAGATAAATTTGTTTTTGTTTTTCTTGAAGTATGGCAAGTGTTGAAACGCAAATTTGATGTTGATGGGATTTAATTCTATGTATGATTGTGTGTTTATGGAATTATTGTGGTTTGTGGGTTATAATTATGATCATGTATCAAGATTTTACATTCAATTTTAGTATGTATGAGCTTATAATGTTCATATTAGTTTAATTAATTGCATTTTTTTAATTAATCTGTCCATGCTGTTGCATAAGCTTGACCTTTTACAATTGATTTTAGTATGATATGAAACTTAGATGGATGCGTAATGCATTAATGACATCTCATGTGATATTTTTTTTAGTTGTTTGCAATGTCAACGTGCGAACAATTTTAATCTGCATCAACTAGCGTACCGCTGTTGTTGTCTTACAAATTACATATGATAGTCATAATATTTCTCAATTTGTTGATAGTGACATTCAAACTAAGAAATGTAGAAAGAAAAAATCAATTGTGTGGGACTACTTCATAGTTTTAAATTTAATTCCAGGGGAGTCAAATTTTTATTTGTCCAATGCATTTATTTTGGGGTCAAATTTCACAAATCAAAAACACGCACAGCTTCCCAGCCTCTTAGACATGTTAAGAAATATAGTAAGATAGAATATAAGATTTAACAACTCATTGACATATCCAATAAAGGACAAAGATGTTGAATTTCATGTCATACTATGCAAATACAGAATTAAAAATTCATATATTTTATGATCCAAAAAATTATGATCAACAACAAATTAGAGAGATCATTGCTAAAATGATAATTGTGCATGAATATTCAGTCGCGATAGTTGAACATATATGATTCAACATATTATTAAAAATATTGAATCCTAGTTACGAGAGTATTTTAAGGAACACTACGTAAAATGATTGTATGGAAGTATATTTGTGTAAGAAGGAAAAGCTTAAAAGTTGCCTTAAAGATGTTTATAGGATGTCTCAAACTGCAGACTATTTGACTCAAATCAAACCATAGGATATACGTGTCTCACTGCTCATTATATTGATTCATCATGAAAATTCGAAATAGAAATTATTAATTTTATTGAGTCAGTCTCTGCATATTGGAACTTACACATGTGATATTATTTTTCATTATTTTTTAAAGTGGAAACTCTAAAATAAAATTCAAATAATTACTTTAGATAATACAAATAGCAATGACGTGGTCACTAGTTCATTGAAAACCAATTTTCGATCAAAAGAAAAATTGTATTTTCATGGCATTTTTTACGGAGATGTGCGCATATTCTCAAGATTATGGTCAAAGATAGGCTAAAAGAGGTTCATGATATCATCCACAATATTAGAGTCAGTAAAATATTTTAAGAAAATCAACAGCTATGTTGCATAAGTTTGTAAGAGTTGCTAAATAGTTGGAAGTTCTAACAACAAGGTCTTTATTGATTAACGTTTCAACAACGTGGAACTCTACTTTCTATATGTTAAGGTTTGTATTTATTTATCGCAATATTTTTCAACACTATGCAGTAAGAAATAATAATTATAAATGGTTGCATGTCAATTCAAATTGGTTGAGATATGAAAAAATTTTAAAAAAAATTCAATTTTTAACAATGTCACTAAGATTATTTCTAGCACTATTTATCCTACGACAAAAATATTATTGCATGTTGTTATGAATGTAAAGAAGACACTCATTGAGGAGTCAATTTCAGCTAATGATTTTATGAGAAACATGACTCTGAATATGGAAGTAAAATTTCACAAATATTATGAGGAATGCAATATTCTAATGTCTATTGCAGAAATTATAGACCCCAGATTGAAATTCAAGTTTATTACTTTCACATTTCCAAAGATATTTCTGCCCAATGAGATTAATCATAATCTTAAATTAGTTCAAGATAGGAGGTGAGATTAATGCAGATTATGTTGCTTACTCCAGTTTTTCTAATTCAACAACTCATGATTCACAAGAGGAGTCATCATATAGACTTGATTCCATGAATTTTTCATCTCAATTTGACTGTATGTTTGGATTTAATGATTTTGTTATGGCTATAGTTCTGTGAACCATATAAGCTTGATTTATAAGTTTATCTTGATGAGGGATTAGTTGTTTGCAATACTGAAACATGTGATGTGCTTGATTGGTGAAAGATGAATGCACTTAAATATCCTTGTC